TTGCAAAATATAATATGAAACATAACCACCGACTTCATTATGTATTATACACGCGCATATTTAACTGGGCACACCAATTTCCGAAACGACCGAAACTTAATCTTTCTGTGATAACGGTTTCGTCGGCCACTTTCCGGGTGAACATTGGATTTTTGTGTGAAGTTCCTAAACCGCGGACTGAMATGCCGTACGCCTATGAYCACGGTACGAACTGTGTTTTTAACCACGGTACAAGTTACACCTTTGACCATGGTTGCAGTAAGGTCGGTCACCTAGGATATAATTGGGTAACAAAATATTTTCCTTCAATCAGTCATAACTGTAGGACCATGTTTGTCGCTTCTTGTGATTTTCTTTACATCGTTGCGTCATCTGATTTTTGATCGATCCTAGWGCGTATGACATAGTAAAGGGGTGAAAAGTGCGACAACATTCTGGGGATGTGATATTGTAATAGTATTATACTTTATATTAATTGCTAGTCTTGTCGTTTTCGTTCAGATGAATCGCTTCGCGGGATTACCGAATATTTACGCACCAAGTCAAGGTAAGGTACTTACATCAGTCATGGGTCAATTACATAGTTATATTCAATGCGGGCAAGCATATAGACTTAACTCTTATAATATAATCGATCAATCCACCAGCCCTTCTTTATAATGTATATTATAATTATATACTGCAGTGTAACTATGTTTTTATAAGAGTGTAGGTAGGTACTCGTGTATGTAAACCCTAAGAAAAATCTTGGGAAATAGTCGCATTATACACCTCCGGTGAATATTTTGGTTTGACGTAATAAAATATTTGGTGATGCATTACAAATTTTAATCATGATCAAAGATGTTTCTCTTATTGTAAGTACCTACGTATGATTTCATTATGTTTTACCTTATATGTAAAATGGTTTAATAAAAAATACAACTATAGAAAAATAAATAAATACTAAACGCACGCAAATAGTGGCAATTTGACAATTTTTATTTTGACGCATACAAGTGTTGGTATCGTTTAATAAATCTAAATCAAAAGCACTTGAAAAGACTTGACACCAATATACCGTAGTTTTATACAGACTACACAGTATTGTCAGTATTTGTGTAAGAACTGTATAAACTGTGTTATTAAAAAAAAAAAAGACCTACCTATATGGTTAATGAATACTATATCTACTASTATAGTAYGAATATATTATATTTATTRTGATCCCTGTTACAGTAATCGGACGGTTATCGTTTTCTCTTTTGCGTCACACGTCGACCGCCGACATATTATAAGTACGCGATTTGATTAATGATTTCAATAATCCTCACATATTAGACTTATTTATTCATTATATATAATGAAATATTAAAATGTTTATTATCTACGATTTATTTTATTAGACCAAAATATTGTGACAATACAAWGTAATATGATATTCAATATTYCAATTTGTCTCGGRCAATTAAAACATTTCTAATTTTTGYCTCAAATATTATATTTCCATGCACATATTTGTTTATAATATAGTGTTTCTGTAAATTTATTATAAAATAATATGTATTCCTATACGCGTATGTAAAATAATAGGGTTTCACTCTCCACCAAACGTCCAAACAACACAATTTGTATTTCACTTCAACTTGCTTGTACTAAAAATTTAAGTTACCCATCCCAATCAGGATCAGATTCCACTCCAAARTCTACAAAACTATCCACTATCTCCGTCATGAAATTTTTCATTTCAAATATGATGAAAAAATATATACAGAGGGATGTCTGGTAAAATATGAAACAGATACAGATATGTGTAGCATATTATACAACAACATTGAGCGCAAGCTTAAACTTTATTCAGCAGAATCGATTGTGATTCTCAAAAGCTATTCATTTAATTCGTTAATTTCATCTTCTAAATATAAATATAACCATATTTTCACTTCTCAAACCCTCTCAATGTTACAAATAACTTCACCAGCCTACATTCAGATAGATAAATACACAAGTACAAATAAATTAAATTAAATTCATTTTAACTTATTTGTTAGGTATTAGATTGACATTTTTATTACTAATTTAACTTATATTCTACTACGTTATCTCACAATTATCATAATGCCCTTTCAATTTATATTTATTATTAAGACAGCGTATTTTGCTAGATGCCTATATTATACAGTTATTTTTTCATTCCTAACTTCTTGCACGGCTGCAATATTTTACTAACTAGTTACAACTATTTACTACTAAATATTTATTACCAAACAACTACTTAAAATATTTAAATAATTCTATACTGCTTTGTAACACATTATTACACTCCACATTCACTATATATGTATACCGACTAAGCACATATTGTGCTCTGCAGAGTTTTATCGATTTTTTATAATTTATCTTCATGGAACATGTAATGTGATTATAAGAGCCAATTTAACGATACGATTGCATACAGTTGTAGATAATACTATTTTATTTCACACTATAATTACCAAATTGTTTTTTTTTTTTTTCACATACATCGTGGTACCCACTACCCACAATGGAATAACATTTGTATTTATGAAGCTCATATAAAAACGTTAACGATCATTTTCAACTATTTTTGACGATGGTCAAAATGCGTGTGCGGTAAATAAATTGTTATTTGATTACCTACCTAGTGCCACGAGTAGCTCGTTGTATTCACGTTRGCAATCATAATATTATTTTCGGCTCTCATCACGGACCACCACAATACCCATACTAAGGTGACATCAAAATGCGTTCAATCGAAAATTGAGTTATACCTTATACCTATCATACCTATCTATAATATATATGTATAAGTGGTTAATGTATATTATTATTATCATTATTGTTAGGATAACCGTGTATATGTGTAATATTTATAAACGCTTTCTCTGTAGCTTTATTATTTTAAAATTTAAATAAATTATACAAATATATTATGCATATATACGCAACGCTCATTCAATTTAAACCAATCTACCCACGACTTGAAAAGTTGAAAATATAGATAAATAGCCGGCATTGTGCGACGGTTAAGAGTGTTTTATCGTTTCAAAATTTAACGTATATGTATCGTGTCGATTATCATTATTATTTTATGCACTCTTAGCGTGTATATTATGTTAGGTGGTACAATAATAACAATATTATAACTCTGCTACACACAGTATTCGTCGTCCGTAGAACGGAATATGTAATTATTAATGTTTGTGTTTAATTTGGCCAGGGTTAACGGTGCACCATAATAATATACAAAGCGAATATATGACGGGAAGCGTGATGAGTGGGGCTATGAGAAATGGGTGCACGCCAAAACTGAGCGTGGGCAGCGGTGGCTGTAGGTATATATGATTTGTTATAATAGTATATACTATATAATAATATATAAACACTCAGCCGAAATAATCATTATAATACACTACACGTGTATCTACATATATAACGTAATCGACTATATAACGGTTGAAATTAATCGCTAGCAGATAGATACATATTGAATACCTACTATTTACTAATAATAAGTATTGTGTTAGAAACTAGCAAACCTTTAGTGAATTAAATGAACTTACATGTTTTTTTGTTACATTGTAAAAATATTAACCGAAATCCGGTCAAAATGTATTTTAATTGCAATACTTGTGTGTATACAATTATTTACTATCAATTTTTTTACGGATTTTGAGATTTTGAACATAAGTAGGTATCTATAACCTGTGAGTTTTCTTAATTTATTAACTATTAAGTCTATGTATTTTTTTCTGACAGATGAGTTAGTTTTTTGTAACTGTGATTATAATAAATAAGTACTTACACTTATACTGTAATGATAATTGATAATAACTAAATAATATATAAATTACGTATGTTTTGAGTTGATGGTAAACATTAAAACTTTGTCATCGTTTTTCTTTATTATTATTATTATTAAATTTTAAGATACATTTGCTTCGTGTTATTGCCATTTTGGAAATATGATATTTTTACAATAGGTACGCGTGGTAAAAATATAATTATACGGTGTTTATACAGTTTTTTATAAAATTATAAATAATGTTGTACACTTTGTACAAACCTCATTATTATTTTAATCCAAAAGTATATATGAATGTGCTGAAGCGCCAGYGCTAACGGATTGCATATTATTCTGTTCGGCCATGTGACATATTGCCTGCAATACAACAATGCATATGCTTACATACTGTTACGAGGTTCACGAAAAATAAAATAAAATATATATATAGCGGTCATTACAACGTTGAGAAGATCAAAAGAACCCAAGCCGTCAATGTTACAAGTTTGATACATATACATATTTATCCACCAGTAGTATTATTGCAAAATTCTATGTGGACAAATCGCTGATCTTTTGTATCGAATTGATAAAAGACTTATATTGTTATTATTATATTATAAATGGGACAAGTAAAATATACAGTGTGTAACCGGCGGCGGTGGCGGCGTCGATAGCGGCCTAGTTTCGGCTTTCCGTGAGGTCATAACATGTACGTACAATATTTATACGTATGTATTAATACGTCTCCACGAGTTCGTTTTGACGACCACTGAACGTCAGCGAACAAGTGAGCGCGCGCTCGCACACACACACACATAATATAATTCTTATATTGTGTGTTCTCATCTCTCCCTCTCTTTAAATCTCTTCGTCCATGTATCTCTCTAGAGCCTCGCCGCATGTACTGCGACCACCTCAAACATACTCGATAATGGTTTCGTATGTGTGTATGCGCGCGCTCGTGTGGTTCCGGCGCCCGGGGTGGAGGAAGAGAATGTACTTGTGTATGTTTGAGTGTATGTGCATGTGTATATGTGTGTGTGTGTGTGTGTGTGTGCGTGCGCGTTCGCGCTCAAACGTCGCCTACGACACGATACGTACCTACTACGAAAACCTGTTGGATGCTGTTTGACCTGGACCCGAATAAACATCGATTGCTCCGTGGCCGCCAGTACACGTTATTGTGGTATAGTCGTACGCGTGTATATGTAATATAGTATGCAGCATATCATGATACTCAACAAAATCGCTTCGATTATCGATTGTTATGCGCAAATATAACGTACATCGATGTATCGTTGTGGTTGTACGACGGAGACAGGTAAAACCGCTTCAGGGCCAAACCGTGCACATAGCTCCGAGCCTTCCGCCGGTGACCACTCTAGTTTTWTTTCTGTTTATTTTTATTATTATTATTGATTTTTTTATCGTTTCCTTGTACCGTATCTATAACCACCACCCAATCTTTGTGACACGATCACTAGTGTCAGAAACTACCCTCTCTCCCCATCACACGTATCATTACATATACCACCTATACTAATAGCTCTACCCCGGACGAYAGCCACGTGACATAAGTATAATGTGACGTCACACTCCGCTATGAACATTAAAGACATACTGGTCATGGACGGCGACGAAGGTTCCATGGATAACCACGGGAGTGACGTCATCATCATCAACAACAATAACAACAACGACAACTGCAGTGACAACGACAATGCAAAACGGTGCAAGCGAGAAATTGTCGAAGACGGAGGGTCGCTGTCTCCGCTGCAGCTGCAGCACCACGACAACGGCGTGTACTTGCGACACCGACACCGAAACGACCGACCAGACGAACCGGAAGAAGAAGACCTGAGGCAATCAGACGACGAGGTACGTGTCACTGATGCGCGATCTTCAATGATCTATTATGGCGTTACGTGTGTATTATATACCTATTACTCACTACAACCCCTCCAATTTATCTCGATTTTATCCCCTTCTTCGTCCGCCCTCAACCACATAATCCAGCGATGGCGTTTTATCAGTGTATATTATTTTTCAAAAACTTTTGTTTGTAGTTCTAACTGGTTGAATCATTTTCATGTAAAATGATTTACCAAGATCTTGGGGTGGTTTTTTAACACGATTAAAATGTTTTTGTTTCTAACAGTTAGTTGTATGCAAATTATATATCGCGTGGATTCTTCGACGCTTATTTATCGGWGCCGAATCGCGATCTGCCGTTATTACTGCAGTTGCGAACTACAGTGAAAGGCTTCATCGGCCACCGCAGTTAGACCGCCGATGAGAAACATAAATTATAATCGCTTTTGCATTGATGCTTGTTATARAAACAAGCTGGGGATCATTATTCGTTTTCAGCATTTTTTTAGTTTAAAGAATTTACATTTAACAGTTATTTAATTGTATATTTAGATCAATTCACACTATCTGGTACCAATCTGATATCTTATATAGAAAAGTAAATATTTTTTATATTATTTATTTAAATGAAGAACCCACCGTGGTTTCCAAATTAAAATTAAAAGTCTACCACGTATCTAATAAATATATTATAAACATAAMATATTTAAAAGTTTCGCATACTATATACTTAATATAATATACTTAACACTCATAATAAATGCTATATGTTGCCGGCGYGGCGTATTCAAATTGTGTCTGGAGAYTTTAACGGCTGGTGATGATTTTACGCTTATCACTCGAGTCGTTCCTATTCTATAGTATACAGTTTATATATAAATATTTACTATAAACACATTTTTTTGAATGGACGACGATGATGAAATTTGTTAGCTTATACATGCAATAGTGACTGAATGCGATTTCTTTGTAAACCACAGTATAGTAATTAATATGGTTTATATTAACATCGGGTATAGCATTATTTAAATTATTATCGAATTATCGATGGACATCTTCTTCTACTACGGCTGTTATAAATGTTTCTAAACATTTATGAATTCTAGTTAGATATATATTTTCTTTACCTATCTGAAAACCTCTACATTTATCGCGTTAAAAGCAAATTACGTTTGATAGTCAGAATTTCAGGAAGTCTTATGCAATAAACGACTTTTAAGTCAGAATTTACATACAACCATTCCGTTATTTCAATATTCAATCATATAGAATCGACTGCAGTGTTTACAGTGTACCTATACATATGGTTACAGATATTTATTTCCGATACTATATCTATGTGAATGTGATTATCGAAAAACATCATGAAAAAAAAACACTATAAATTAAAAAATTATAATAATAATATATATATAATATATTTCTGTGTAGTATTTTTTTTTAATTGACAATTTAGATCCTTAAAGTCCCCGCCCCTGTAGAAAGTCTATCTCGTTAGGTTGTTGGCGCAAATATTCATCTGACAACGCCGATTTTGCTGTCCAACCATTAAATCTACTTGTTTGTGTGTTCGTGTGTGTGTGCATGTGGGGAAAGTTCCTATTTTAAATTCAGCGCCATTTATCAATACGACATCGTTCGAGTATCAATGACCGTTCTGCAACCGTAACGGCAATGGAGTACACGGACTGTCAAGGTCTCAAGGCTTACCGTGTGCAACTTTATAGACAGTTACAATTAACACGTGGTTGATGGTTGTCTAAATTTTTAGATTTTCAATAAATTATTAATAACTAATTGTTGCTTCTAAAAAAACTTAATTTTTTTACTATTACTTACACGTTATTATACACAAAATGTCATTTTTATGTATATATAATTATATTGAATACAATATAATGTACAGGTCTATCAAATTGTTGTCATTTTTATTTTGAAGACCCCGTAATAATATTAAGCTAAATGAAAATAATGTTGGTAGTTGGTAGGTTGGATACATCCTATTCGAATTATTTGCTGTGTAAAACCTTTCGAGTATACATTCAAATGTATCTTAAAGGGAATAGGTAGGTATTCAAACTCCGCAGACCCAAAAAAAACTTACCCTTGGACTGACTTCCGTTGCATTCAAAACAACAATGAAAAAATGCTTATTCTTAAATATTTTTGAACAAATGTTTTAGCAAATGYGTTCACTATTTCCAAGAAGCGTTCTTTTAACGTGGATTTAAAATATTACAATTGACCCAAGTAAAGCAAAATATACAAATTCTTTTTGTAACGATATCGCTTTTATTGGTAGGTAGTTCAGTTTACAATGTTTAACCATTTACAACTGTATTGAGTATCAACCTCTTGTTGTAGCGTATCACAGAATGTAGGTATTATTATATTTTCTTAATGTTCAAAATCAMAAAATACCAAGAGTATTTTTGGTTTATTCCATTTATTTTATACAACATTACATAGTGTTACCTACTACGAATCAATGACAGTGACATATTATGTGTTTATTATACTATTAAATCGTTAATATTTAAAAGTTAATATTATAGTGTTGTACATATAAATACATTACTAACTGCACAATACTGTTATATACTATCAAACACTTAATATTATTCCTATAAAAGCGTTTTTTTTTCGTTAAATGGGTTTATCATGAATTCATGACTGACACTTCTACAGAAACGTGACATATGTCTTATTATTTCATCCATGGTACACAATCGAAATAATTAAAATGTTTCCCTAAATAAAAATCCCGGTTGAAAATCGGCCATTAAGAACRGACGTTTAATAATAATAGGACGTATTTATATTGCAGTGTGTACATAGGCTGCACGTGCCACCGGCTTATTGTAGGTACTATGTATCCCAAACGTTTGCGTACCAACGCACTTGTCTGCATTTACGATATAATTGAATTATACAATATTTTTCAAAAAATATGTACAGACTTTAATTTGGCATGTTTTATTTTTCTCTTCGTATCGAATCAATTGCACTCAAGTTTGTTCCCACATCAACCACATTGCCGGCGGTGACCCTTTTACCGTGAAATCGACCCCAGTGCGACCATGGTCTGAAAAATTTCCATCGTGACATTTCCAGTCATCTCTTTTAAACCGACGAAACGTTCCATTATGTGGCGTCACTCAGATGCATATATATAATTAACGTATGCCACCGCTGTGTGTACCTGTATACGCGAATACAGGAAGATGAGAATATAAGTTATAAGTAACGTTGCGTTAAGTACGTCAAGTACCATAATATACTATATTACACACATATATATTATATATAGGCAATGGGACAACTGTACGTATATATACGCATTCCAAGTGAACTGTGGGAGTGAATATCTGGAATTTAGAAAGCGCTGATGCGCGCGCTAGCAGCAGCAATTGGCGGAAAACCTAAAACGCAACGCTTCAATTTATGTATTATATAGGCGTAAAATAATAGAAGTACGACGAGTGGTGCACACGACTTTGTCTTTATGCGGCGTCCAAAAATAAAACGTCAGCCGACAATGATTTTGGCTATCGCCTGATGCGGCGTATAACGGTAACCCGGTGTCAGGTAACCTAGCACGGAATTCTGAGAACACTGACCGTGCACCGCGGAATTCGAAATCACACAATTTTCGTTGACAATTTGTTGWTGTTGTTTTTTTCATTYGTCTTATTTTCGGCTTACTTTGAAAACTGCATGGCCTGTAAAAGCGGCTTCATTTTTTTCGGATCTCGTATGTATGTTTCGACTAGGGAAAAATGGTTGAGTGGAATCTTTGGCGTCTGTCTCGGATGACGGAGGCCGACGAGGAAATCCGAAAGCACACGATACAATCTGAAGAATGCGAAAAACAACCACATTAACCAATTGTTACCGTGGTTGTACAATAATGGCTTCTTGTTTTGCAGACTGCTGCTCGTTTTTATATACATTACAATGTACCTACTGGTTCAATAGTATTGGCGTGAAACTGTGAAGTTTCTGTGCRTGGAATTATTAAACAAGTATGGCCGCATAGGTATTAGCTATATATTGACTATTATGTTTGTCATTAGTACTTATMTTATTTAGCGTTGCGAAATCGTTTCGCAAGTTTACAAAATCCATTTAAAAACAAGAACAATTTGGTGACCTATTAGTTTCATGATTGGYACGTTAATGGGATACGTCATACCTATATAATAATAGTTAGTAATAATAAGTGATAACTATTATTATTATCAATAATAGSATAAAAATATTTTTATATTACATATTTTACCCACTTGTAAGTTGTAGATGATTTTTAATAAACGTTTCTTCAATATGACAGGTTTACAAGGAAAATATAATATATTGTATTGATTTCTTGCGTCACACTAACATGCATTTATTAATAATTACTATACATAGGTACCTATTTCTAAACTGCAATGTATTTTATATTACTTCATTATATAGGTTTAGTAGGTAAACCTTATAATTAGTACTATTTTTATCGTATTCACACCATATATTTGATTATGTGATATGTTTTAGGGTTGTAAATTTTACTAAAAAACATGTTCAAAAGTTGTTACTGACGATACTTTATAAGTAATATGATGTTGATATGTATAAATAATAAATTGAAATCTTTTTTCTTTTTTTTCTTTAGCCTTAGAATAAAACTCGGCAACAAGAGCCATTAGCTATCTTGTTTGATATTTAACAAAAAAAATTAATAAAATATATTACTCGTAWTAAATTTACAAGAAATGTAATATAAATTATGTCATAGCGGCTCATAGGTAAAGATTCAGAGAGCCATTGTCTTAACGTTTTCGTTCAAAACATCACCACCAATATTCGCGTTGTATTTATAACACCAAAAAGCGTTATCGGTTCTTAGACATGTTTTTTAAGTTCCTCTCTCCTGGTATTTTTGTATTGTGCAGCGTTTGTATGTACACGCGAAGATATTTACTACCGTTTTTAATAATTAATTTAATATTCTCTATCTCCGC